CAGACGGGGGCAAGGGCGGGGAGTGAGTAGGAATTTTCCTTCGAAATCAAATGGAAAATATTTTCCTTGAAGATTATGAAGAATGTTTTTACAACTTATGTTACCGAACAGGACAGAAATCAAAATTTTCTTTAAAAATATTTCCCCCAAACCAAACAGACCCTAAATTGTTGTTGTTGAATGCTTCTGAACAGGCATTGAAAGTGTACGTTCCCTCGTTCAAGAGCTACGGACAGATGTGGCCTCACATGCACACGCGCGTCTTGGCTGCTTTGGTTCTCTACCAGCTCACGATGTTCGGTTATTTCGGCGCGAAGCTGTTTCACTACACCCCGTTTGTCCTCCCACTCCCAATATTGTCCTTCATCTTTGCCTTTGTGTGCAAGAAGAAGTTCTACCGGTTTTTCCAATGTACCGCCTTGGAAGCTGCTGCCCATGAACTAAAAGAGGTTCCCAACATGGAAATCGTCTTCACGTCCTTCATCCCGCCTTGCCTTGCCTCCCAGAAGGCAGACGACGATTGTTATGAAGATGCGGCTCTGTCGCACGTTTCAAGAACGAATGTTTGATTCGCATGCGCGAATTCGATGAAAAAGAGAGGGAAAAAAGCACTTTGGTATGCTCGTGATTTTCATGGTTTTTAGGACTGAACAGGGACACGAGCCCAGACGCTGGTTCACAAGTTCAATGGTCGCGTGCTTCAGGATTTGCACGTGTGAATTGAAAGACGAAAAATAACACTTTGGTATGTTTGTGATTTTCATGGTTTGGTTACATTGGACTCTTGTACTCAATGTGAATATATATAGCAAGAGGTTTGTCAAAGTGTAGACTAGAGTTTGTGAGGTAATGTGTGCTAGAACAAAAATCACATGACAATTGTTAAGATTGGTGTCAACTTTGGAGAACTCTGCATAATACTATAGAATACTCTAGAGTATGGACACAAGAAAAGTGTAGTTTCTTGCATGGGTGGCCCGGAAGGTGTGCAAAGTGACCAACTACACAGGGCTCCTAAAATTTTAGGGCTCCATATTTTTAAATTCGATATTAATTTTAAAGCATAAGTATTCTAAAAAATAAAATATGTCTCAAAATGTAAATTTTGGTCCGGGTTAATTTTATTTTTTTATTTTTAGGGGCCGGCCCTGGACTTTCTTGTTTTATTTCATTTTCTAGGATTATAAATAAGTTTTTAGAGAGTGCTTGGTATTATTTCTCGTTGACCCAATGAGCTACTCATTATTTGTTGATGAATTGTTTTTACTTTTTTTTTTTTGAAGAATTTCAGGTTTAGATTAGACTAATTCAATTTCTAAATATACTCGGTAAATTTGCAGATTTAAATGTAATCCACTATTTCACTCTACTCATTATTTTTGTCCTATTTTATTTATTTTTTTGACTCGTTTTTTTCATATTATATTTTGTTACTCCGTATATTTGTTTGGTACCTATTCATTTTTATTTTATCTTACTTTTAACATTAATATCAATCACATATGCTTACTTTTATCAATTGGAGAAGTATTTTTCATGTTACTCTCTCTTGTTGCAAAAATAGTGGGACAGAAGTATTATTTTTCATATCTCTAAATAATGTTTTCATTTGTTTTATACTATTTACAGGGCTAAAATAGTTTTTTTAATCATATAGATTTACTCCCTTTTTTAATCATATAGATTTAATCATTAGTTTTTTTACTCCACTCATTTTAAACGTCTGGGTCCGTCACACCTTTGTGAATGAATGAGTAAATATATTTGCACATTAAAATCTTACAACATGTATTTTATAGCAGTTATACGCAGACATTACACAACAAAATTTGACGCTAAAGTATCTCCAATCATATGAGAATTTTTTTCAACCAAATTAAATTAGTTTGAATGCATTGCCAATTAAATGGAAATTAGGTTGCTTATTGGTGGAACAAAATTATTACTCCCTCCGTCCCAAATTATAGTGTATGTTTACTATTCACAGGGTCAAACTTCATTCACTTTCTTTCTCTATTTTCGTTAGCAATTTGATAAAATAAAATATTATTGTCACTACTAGTTTTGTAGATCTTTTGATGCAGTTTTTTAATATGTAATTTTTATTTTTTAATTATATACCATTTGTCATATAAAATGGTTTGAAAATAATTTCAGTCAAACATCGTAAACTAAAACAGGCGTTATAAAATGGGACGGACGTAGTATTTTTTATACATATTAGTATTAATTAGGTAATCTTTGAGCTTCTATCAAAAGCTCATGGCCTTGTGGAATGAACTGGTAAAGAAGATTATATGCCACACAATATTTCAAAATTTCAGTTATGCAGTCCAGCTTTATTTATGCAGCATTGCCAAGATTTATACTGTGTGGTACTTTCAAAACATTTTATATAAAAAATGATGTGAAACTAAAAACTATAAATTATATATTAAAAAAATATGTCAAAACTATGGGTGATATGACTCTATTATTTTTGGACGGAGCCAGTAACATCCTATCCAATATCTATATATTGGAGTATTCACTATTCATTCAGTTTGAATTACTTCCCCCATTCATATTTTATTCACTTTATTAGGTTATTTTTTACGCTTATTTAATAAAAGTATAGTCATGTCATTTCTATTTTCGTATACCTTATAATACACTTTTAAAATATACCAGAAGTATAACTTTTAACGAGAGGGGTTCCCATTACACTGAAAACTCATATCATGGGACGACTCGGGACCGCTATGATGCCACATTTGTAAAATTGATATTTCTACCCTTTAACCCCGGTAAACCCCCCACCCCCATGTTAATTTGACTTTAGAGTAAAAAAAATTGAATTATAAAAGTCAAAGTAAGAATATATTTATTGAATTATACTCCCTCAATCCCTCAATCCGAATTTAATTTTTTGATTTGAGCTATTACGGTTTAAAAAGTAACACTTTCACCATTAATATTGATATTTATGCATAAATATATTTTATGAAACAATAAATATTGATGATACTTTATAAACTTTCACAAAAATACTTCAAAAATTACTTTCAGGTACCTTTAATTTTCTGATAATAACTTCTAGGTCTTATATTTTTTGAAATATACTCTCAGGTCTCTTTTTTTGTTTGGTAAAAACTCTCAGATCCCACATTATCCGAAATATACTCCGGGATCCTTAAAATTTGTGATATTATACTCAGAGGGTACACTATCTCAATTTCAGCATTAGATTGCAAGTTATGTTACTTTGACAAATGGATGAACTTTATTTTAATTTAATAAAATAATAATTATCAATGTAAAGTTTAATATTTTTTAAGGTAACAGGACTTTCAATTATAACGGTCAAATAAATGAAATGTAGCCTCAGAGTAAATTATCACAAAATTTAAGGATCTCTTGGAATATATTTTGGACAATGTGAGACTGGAAAGTTTTTATTGAAAAATCAAAGAGACCCCGAACTATATTTCAAAAAATGTCAGATCTCGAAGTTCTTACCGAAAATTCAAAGATACTCCATAATAATTTACGGCTTTGTTTGGTAACAGCGTTTTCGATTAGCGTTAGCGTTTTGGATAAAATTTTGACGGTGCAGATTAATTCTGAAAACGATAACGCTAAAGGCTATCTAACGCTAATCTCTGACGCTGATGTCAAACGGGGCCTACATATGAATGGAGGAACTACTTTTTTTGTCACAAAAGTCAGCAACAAAGAGAATCTACAATTTTTAGTTAATCAGAATTTTGATTCCTAATGTTCTGAAATGTCAAAAGAATCATACCAGCAAAAATTTTAGGCGAGATGCAAGCGATAGGCCGCCAGCCGTCAACTACCAACCTCCGCCGCAACAACAACCACTCTGCCGCCGCGAACATACTTCCCGTGATCGGCGCCTACAAAGATGGCAGGTTCAAAGCCAACAGAAACAAGGAAGGGTCCAATAGGGCGATCAAATTGGCGGAATCGTTGACGAATTTCATCAATCTAAAGATCGAAACCGCCAGTAATGACAGACGGAGCAGATTCGCGAGCATCGAAGACAAGGCGGAGGCTCCCGTATCTTCCCCGAAGGAAAACATTTCCGGCGAGTGGCGCGAACTCCATGGATGCCGGGAATGGGAAGGCCTCCTCGACCCGCTCCACCCGTCTCTCCGGCGAGAGATCGTCAAGTACGGCGAGTTCGCGCAGGTGACCTACGACGCGCTCGATTCCGACTACTACTCGGAGTACAGCGGGAGCTGCAGGTACAGTCCCCGGAAGCTGTTCGACGAAATGTCGCTGACGAAGAGCGGCTACAGAGTCGTCAATTATATGTACGCGATGTCGCGGATCGACCTCCCGGAGTGGCTGGAGGCGTCGCGACTGGTCAACAGATGGAGCAAGGACTCGAACTGGATCGGATTCGTGGCCGTGAGCGACGACGAGGAGACGCGGCGGATCGGGCGGAGGGACATCGCGGTGGCGTGGCGGGGGACGGTGACGCCGACGGAGTGGTACGAGAACACGCAGAACAAATTGCAGCCGATCGGGCAGGGAGATGCCAGAGTGGAGCAGGGTTTCCTCAGCATCTACACATCGAAGTGCCCGTCGTCGCCGTACAACAGATCCAGCGCGTCGGAGCAGGTGATGAGGGAGCTCCGGGACTTGGTGGATGTCTCGAGAGAGAAGGGAGAGGAAGTCAGCCTGACAATCACCGGGCACAGCCTGGGCGGCGCACTGGCGGCGCTCAACGCCTACGAAGCGGCGGCCACCTTCCCCGGCCTTCCGATCACCGTCATATCCTTCGCCTCCCCTAGAGTCGGCAACATAGCCTTCCGGGACGAGCTCTACCAGGTACCCTATCAAAGTCAACATCTGCTCTAAGTTATTTTGATATTTTGATATTTCCATCATTTCCGATGGAGCCAAAATTTCACCATTTTTTGGCTTTGGGGTGTGATGGAATAAATCAAAATGGATCTCTAAACTGTCTGCGCTTCTTTAATTAATAAAGTAGCAGTTAGTCAAGCAATGCAACTTTCGACGTTGAGCCGGGGGTCTCTTTGGAAACAGCCTCTCTACTTTCAAGTAAGGGCAAGGTCTGCGTACACACACCCTCCCCAGACCCTACTCTTGTGGGATTTAACTGAGTTGTTGTTGTTGTATCATTATTCATTTATTCCGGATGACAACTAATTGTTCTCTGGGATGCCAATCATATTTTATTTATACATATACATATGATAATAATTTGTGACACTATTATGGCTTGCCCTTTTTGTCTCAACTTATTAGTTTTGATATAAATTTATGAAGATTTGAGTATTTATGATCTAAATTGATTTTAATTAATTGATCTTAATGTTTCTAATCTAGATTGTTTTGATCTAATTTCAGTAATAATTATTCCATAATACAAAGTATATAACAAGAATAAATTGAAGATAACTAGTCCTTAGGTCCCGTTTGATACATGGAATTCAAACTATGGAATTGGAATTGTGGATTCCAATTTCAATTCTGGTGTTTGGTAGCACAAAAATTATGTGGATTTGGAATTGATAGTGCAAAAAATGAATTAAAATTGACAGAATTCAATTCTATGAAATTGAATCCCATGAAATTTCAATTCCAATTCAATTCCAATTCCACCAATTCCTTGTACCAAAGGGATCCTTAATCTCTTACATACACAATTATGCATGTCTATGAGGCATAATGTAAACATAGTGTCATAGATGATGTCAAAATAGAGTTACTCTAAAGTTAATATCATTACATGTATTTTTAAAATATCAAATTTAAAATGTATAGGTATGCCTAAATATATTTATTAAAAGTCAAAAGAATAATTATAAGGATCATAAAAAAAATAGATATGGATTTTTTTAGAATCAAATGAGTGATCAACTGCTCGATTTCAAAAAATCAACGATACAATCAACCAGTTTAATTTGATTCATCGTAAAGCTCAAAAGGCAAAATGTATGAATCTAAGCGCTAACCACCAATATGATTCCCTAATTAACAAACACAACAGATGGGCGTAAAAACGTTGCGCGTGACGGTGAAGCAAGACATAGTGCCAAGAATGCCGGGCGTGATATTCAACGAAAGCCTCCAGAAATTCGACGACCTCACGGGGATGCTGGACTGGATGTACACGCACGTCGGAGCAGAACTGAAGCTCGACGTGAGAGCGTCGCCGTACTTGAAGAGAAGGCCCAACCCCATGGGAATTCATATGCTGGAGACATATCTTCATCTTGTGGATGGATGGGTGAGCAGGAGTTCGACCTTTAGGTGGGACGCCAAAAGGGATGTGGCCTTGGTGAATAAGGACTGTGACATGCTTGTAGGGGAGCTAAGGGTACCCCCAAATTGGTACCAATTGGCCAATAAAGGTATGGTCCGTAATTCTTGGGGCAGGTGGGTTAGGCCCAAAAGGGAACCAGAAGATATCCCTTCCCTCATTATGTAAATATTATTGTACTACCTCCGTCCTACTCTCTTTGTCCACTTTTGACTTTTGGAATTGTTCATCTAAGCACTTTGACTTATCAAATTCTCTCAAAGTGTAAGCCTAAATATAGTCATGTGTGATCTTGTTTGATTTGTCTTAACATATATAATATTAATATATAATTTCTATAATTTTTTAATATACAAAAAATTAAAAAATTGAATGTAGCTGTCTAGGAATTCTGGTAAATGTTTTTTTTTCCGGAATGGACAATTGTGTTATTTGTATCAACTATTGTGTACTCCCTCCGTCCCCTATAGATCTTCCCATTAGCCCTTTTTATTTGTCTCGCATATATCTTCTCATTACCTTTTTTAACATTTAAAATACCACAACTACCCTCATTTACTTTATTTATTACACCTTTTCCACCTTATTTAATACACCCCACCCATTTTCATTAAGGTATTTTGGTAAACTTTCACCTTTTTTCAACTCTTCTTAAAAACCGCAAAAAGTCAAAACGAGAAGATCTTAGGGGGGCGGAGGGAGTATCATTTTATGTAATTGTTCCAATTGTGTTGTGTTATTTTGACTTTAGAGAGTGTAATGAACTGATATATAATGGATCTATTTGTACTTTGTTATTTTCAATTTGGAGAATGTAATGAATTTTGTAGAGTTCGAATTTTGGTTTATGTTCGGTATTTGGTTAAACCGATTACCAATCCGATTTAATTTGGTTTTACCAAACCGAACCATTTGATTTCGGTTCGGTATTTGGTACAAATAATAAATTACCAAATTTTTGATTAACCGAATTTTTGGTTCGGTTCGGTTTTACCAAATGAACACCCGTAAATATACACTGTCGTCAATTTTCCGTTGCCAACGCGTACTTTTATACTACATTGCCATTATACTCATATTTTTATCCTAAGAGATTTAGAACTCGTGTTTTGGTGTTTTCATATTTTCTTATTACATTTTCAAACCCATTATCCGTCCAAACAAGGCCTTATTGTTAGGGATGAGCATGGTACGGTATTTAGTCCGTACCGATACTGTACCAAATATTTCGGTTCGGTACGTGATTTTACGTCGTACCGATCTGGATCCCGAAATTTCGATTCAGTATGGTTCAGAATAGTTCAGTATCGGTTTTGGGATGAAAATATATGCACCTAATTTAAACATTAAAATGTCACAAAAATATTTATTTTTTAATAAATCGAAAGTATATTTAAATGAAAACATACAAAACAAAAAAATGAAAAATTGAATGCAAGAAATGCGTATTAAACTTAGTTCATATCTCACAAACTACGGTGAATGGATGATAACGAAATAATATTTCAAATGTGTGCTACTATTTTTTAATTTTTCTATAAAAAATTATAACTCAAATAAAAGTAAGATGAACACATAATCAAATTTGAGTCAAATTTTAAAAATAAACTTATCATTCAGTGAAAAAATATAGAAATTATTACTACCTCCGTCCCATTTTATAACGCCTGTTTCGGTTTACGATGTTTGACTGAAATTATTTTCAAACCATTTTATATGACAAATGGTATAGAATTAAAAAATAAAAATTACATATTAAAAAATTACATTAAAAGATCTACAAAACTAGTAGTGACAATAATATTTTATTTTATCAAATTGCTAATGAAAATAGAAAAAGAAAGTGAATGAAGTTTGACCCTGTGAATAGTAAACAGGCATTATAATTTGGGACGGAGGGAGTATTATATTTATCATATCTTAGTGTATATATATATTCGGTTCAAGATTTTCATTATGAGAAATTACTTTGTAACATTTCCAAATATTGAACCGAATATGTTTGGTTGGGTTAGTTCAGTATTGTATTTTGGATAAAGCTACTTGTACCCCAACATTTTGTACCCCAATTTGTACCCTGCAGTTTTGCACCAACATTTTGTGTTGGTTTAAAACTAATTTTTGTTAACGCGCCAACATTTTATGTTCGTGAAAATTTTTGTTAACCCACCAACATTTGTGTCGATGTAAACCATCAAAATATTTGTGTATAACTGCGGTGTACAATTAAAGTATAATTTTTTGTGTAAATGTAGCATGGTACTTTATTTTTTCTACGGAGTATTTAGTTTTCTAGACTTTTTCTAGAATTTTCGAGTAGGTTCGGGCTAGGGGTGGACACGGTACCGGTACGGTACCGTCACCGGCAACGGTACCGCCGGTACCCGCCACCGTCACCGGCAAGGTCGCCGTGTCACCGGTTCCGGGAACCGGTACCGGTACCGCCACTTTTGGTACCGGTTCCGGTACCTATTTTTTGGTACCGGTTCCGGTACCTATTTTTTGGTACCGGTACCGGCGGTACCAGTCCGGTTCCGGTACCGGTTTATTTTATTTTATTTTATTTTATTTTTTTGTTGATTTGAAAATCTGCAAAAAGTTAAGAAAAAGGTGGGGGGGCACACCTCAAACGGCTATTTAGCCATTGAGGTGGG